TTAGATTGCACAATATGATGAAAATTCTTCTTTTATAAGTTACCATTTCAATATACAATCCTCTTTAAAGTTTAAAGTTTTACAATCTCTTTAAAGTTTACCTTTCATCTATGTTTATGATGGAATATTGTTCACGATCCTAATGAATTTTCTCCTCTTTTTTTTTATTATAATAGAACTAAACAGTAAAATACAATTCTGCCTGTTCATTACTAACACAGATTAATTTGGTTTTGGCTGTTGATCTCAGATTGATTCCAAACTATGGGTATACTTCACTGATGCCATTATACAGAGGAGAAAACAAAGACAAAGAATGTTACAAAACTTAGCATACACATTTCAGGATATGGATCCATGTGGTCTCATTCTGTTTACATGTGTCCATAGCAGAGCATGAGTTAAAAATCAGGACTTCCAGTCTCAGTGTTCTGCCTGGTGAGCCACAGAATTTTTACAGCATGATTTTCTTCTGCTTTACTGTATGACTTACAATAATCCATAAGGTTTATCTTCAGCCTGCCCTGCATCACACACACAAAAAACCTGCACTTTACTTATATATATATTACTGTATTCTAATCTCTTAAGGACTAGTTAAAAAAAAAAAAAAAAAAAAAAAAGTGTTGATGGCCCTAATAATTATTCCAGGAGCTGGACTTGAAGACTGTATGTGAGAGATTCTGCCTGGCTGTGTATACTTGCAGCTCTTTTTTTCCCCCTCAGCAATTTACCTTTCAAGTTCATGTTTGAGTTTTAAGCAGGTTGTAGATTTGAAGTGTCGCACAGGAGAATTGTAAGGACATAGTGTCCATAGTTAAGCACCACATTCTCTACTGATGGTTGCATTTTTTTGCATTATAAAGTACTTGGGGTTGTGCAGACAATCAGATACTGGCACTATTTAAACATTCCCAACCTTATCATTCATCATAAACACTGGAATAGACACAAGGATAAGCTCTCTCAGCCTGCTAGTTTTAACTCTATATTAATATTAATACAAAACAAATTTCTGAAGGAAAGGACAAAATATTCTTCCTTAAATCCTGATTGCCAGCTTTACACAAATTGTTCTTGATTACCAATAAAATTGGAGCAGCAGAAACCAACAGACCAATAGAAGTGTCTCCTTACAGGCAGCTTATATCATACATCATCAAGAGAAATATTTGAAGATACACAGGTAAATTTGGTTCCATATACCAAATAAAAAGGTTGTGATACATGTTGCCAGTTACTGAGATTTGCCATAATTTCTGAACAGTACCCAAAGTACTTTGCAACCAATCTTAAATTGTGATGCCTGACATAATCAAACAAAATTGACTTCATTCTTCAGAGGAGCTATATGTCATTAATGCTGCAGACACGTTCTTTTGGTTTATTGGACAAGCTTTCAGTCTCAACTAGACTGGGTTACTTGAAAGAAGGACAGAAAATGATTGATGCTACTGTGAGTTAGCCTGGGCCACCTATCAAAATTGGGATATGCAGGGACTGATCATCTTAAAGAAGCACAACAAACCTTGTAGGCTTTAGTCCTGTTGCTTACATCCAATTAAAAAAAAAAATAAAAGCTACTACCCTCCTCAGCACCCTTCAACTCTACCCATCTGAGCAGCTTTAGTTATGCTGAAATGTAGGACTAGCCCTAGCATAACCGGCCTTTATAGAAGCTGGCCAACCAACTGCTTCCCTGAATAATTTTCAGAAAGAAGATTAGTCTATCTAGAGTCTGATAAGAATAACATATACATACATAGCTTAATATGCATTGTGCTTTATACTATATGCATTTATATATAATATTTATATATATTTATATCATATACTTATGTATATATACACATAAACTGAATTTCTCCATATAGATACCAGCCATTTAGTCTGCTCAAAAATGAGAAAACACACAAGATGATAGCCCTGACCTGCTGGCTAGAAAGCACAGGAAGTTTATAAGGTCTGAACAGCTCCTCAACCTTTTCTGCCCATCTCTCAGAAGATTCCTCTGTCAAACAGCTTCATCTGTCATACAGGTACTTTGTCTGCTGGTCTGTTTATTTGTGCATTTAGGACTGAGATTACTTGCTTCCTTTAACCAGAGGAGATGGTAGTAATCACAGCACAACAGCCCTTCTGGGATGCCTTTCTTGCATAGCCTCTCTGTACATTCTTCTGCAAAACACTGCAAAGTAAATTAGGCATATACAAACAGAGGAAAAGAACAGGGGAGAGGGATTTTTTTGTTTGGATGGTTTTTTTGTTTCTATGTGCTTTGAGATCCAACTAGAAAAAAGAAATAATGCTGGATCTTCCCTGCTACCTGGAAAAGCAGGTGTAATATTTACTGGGGTATTTCCTAGGCATGACTGGAAAAATGATGCTATTTCCTTAAGTGGTAACCCTTCTCAGGAAAATTACACTGATACCCCAGCACCAAGTTAAGAGTGCAAAAGGCAGATTAAAGTGTTTATTCTTCAATAATACAAAATAGACTCCTACCAGTTTAATGTCCTTAGGGGACTATCTGTAGAAGAAATGCCAGGCTGGGTGGAGCTATTTATTTGCCTATTTGAGACTTCCTACGCTATATACACCATTGCTAGGTGCTTAAGTGCGTTAACTTGTGTTAGGTACTGTTCTAGAGATCTGTGCATTTCAGTACTGACTGAAGCTATTCCTATACGGATGACACTTTAGAAAGAGCTTTCTACTGTGGATGATTCAAAATCTTAAAGAAAGGGCACTGGAAGAAAGTTAGAGTTATCAGAAAGAGCAAAGAGCACTTCACATGCTTGCCCCTCAGTACTTAAACAGCACTTTGCCTTACCTTACAGACCTCTAAACATCTCAAAAGGATCCTAGTGCCAGCCTGCTCTCTCAAGACTGATTTCTCTTTGTAATGCTATTGTGCATTCATATGATCAGCAAAGAGATTGATTTTTTTGCAGTGGTGGGCAGAGAACTGCCTGGAACTCCTGATAGAGCAGAAGTTTGATAGAGCAGAAAAAGCCTCATTAGATATGAAGACAGATGAAGAGAGCAAAGAAATGAAAAATAGTTGTATTAAAAAAAAAAAAAAAAAAAAAAAGTTGAAAGAGTGCAAAGGAGAAAAATAGAATGGAGTCCTTACTAGGACAGACTTCATTCTGAGAAAGCATGCCAGCTCTCAAGAAGCCACTGCTGTTTATCAGTACTTTTATCAGAAAAAAATAACAAGTCAGAATAAATAAAAATTACAGAAAGACTGGCAGATACTTTAGAAAAATAAGCTATATTGGAGAAGATTTAATAATTTTATCTAATATGGGAAAACACTTAGCAGAATTGAAAGGGCGGGGGGGAAGGGCAGAAGGGAAGACAGCAAAGTGCCATCTTCATGGTGGTTCTTCCACAATTAGCATCCTTATGTTGGTTGCTCTTACCCTGGTTAAAGAAAGATGCTGTGTGCTGTTAAAGTTCTGTCTGATACTCTTTGAAATTCAAGTTATCAGTGGAGAGGAAAGAAAACTTGTGATTCAAAAGTGAAACATTTTTAATTTTTATAGTGTAAGCAGTGACAATTTTGACATCCATATTTTTCTTGATTTTCCCAGGAACTTTTCACTTCTCTCATTGTCAAGACATGCACGCTTTAAACTTCAGAACTTCTTATAATTTTTGTGGCCTAGAATTACTTGTAGACGACAATCTCTCACAGGGGCAGGACAACTTATCTGAAAGAGGCAATATGAAGGCTTAGTACTTACACTGTTCAGACCCAAGAGGCATTGTTAGTCATTGCAGACTCACACCATCATGAAGGAAAAACATGTCCCAGCCTCACCCAAGCACCAAAGAAAATTAAATCTGTCAATCTGGCTGCAAACCTCAGCCTAACAGTGTGGACTGCACAAAGGGCTGATCTGTGGGTCCCACTTGCCTCTGATTTGACTGGAAACCTTATCTGGCTGCTGTTCTCTCTCAAGTATCTCTAAATCCAGTGTATGTGTCTCCACGTTGTCCCACCCCAAAGTGCCTCTGTCAAGAGCTCGCTAAGAAAGTGTGTGGTGGCTGTTGAGAAGGACTGCATCAGAGCTCCTTCTTGCTCGAAGATTACTTCTGGGATAGCAGCGACAAATTGGTGAGGTCCAGAAGGCAGGAGCCACGGGCTCTACTCCTTTGCTGCCCTCTACTGCAGCATAGCTTCTCTGAGCCAGAGGCATCAACTGAAGCTTCAGACAAAGCTGGAGTTGAGACCAAGGAACGCAGGCAGGGCGCAGAGACAGCGAGGGGAAGTGGGAGACAGCTTAGGGCACAGCTGCATGGGGAGTGGAGTTGGGGACTGAGATCTGTGGAGATGGCAACAGGAGGCACAGCAATGCCAAGCGCTGCTCTAGAGGGTAGAACACACCAGTCACATCCCGGGGGCTTCGAGGTCTGACCTTCCTGCTCCTTGCACAAAAAAAAAAATCTACATCACAAAAACAAAGTATTCCATGCCTCAGGATTCTTTAATTTCTAGTTAAGAGTCTACAAGCAACTAAAACCTACCTATGTAACAAATTTTGTGATATTACTATAAATTACTTTTCATCGAGCATTATGCTGAGCGTAAATGTCACAGTTCCACTTAGGGGATGGGAACGGGGAGGGACAATTAACTACGGAAAACAACCACGCCACGTGTCGGCTGTTTCCCCTGTTCAGGCTCTTGGGAGCTCCGAAACAACAAGAAAGCCAGCCTGTAAACTCCCCAAGCCGAAGTTCTGGGGCTCCGAAGCAGCGAAGCTGCGTGACAACAGCACGGGGGCTGCACGCAGGTGCTGAGGCCTCGCTGCAGGATGCAGCCGCAGCTCGAGCGACCAGATTTCTCTTTTGACAGAACTGTTCACTGCAGCTCCGCAAAGCACAACAAACCCACACGCAGCCACCTTCCGCTGGACCCCGCGCCACCGCCTCCGCCCCTTCTTCCCGCTTCCTCAATCAAGCGCCGAGCGGCGGATCGCGGCCGGGACCGATCCTCTCTGCGTTACCGTTACCGCCTTCCGCTCCTCCCATCGGAGTTGAACCCGGCTGCCTGCACCCCGGCGGGAGAGGTGGGGCGTGCCCAGGTTTCTCTGTCGCCCGGCTCTTCCGGCGGAGGCGGCTGGTCGGGCGCCTGGCGTTCCGTACTCGTATCGCACCGTGAGCAGCGAGAGGCTATGGAGCGCGTCTTTACGCCGCTAGACTGTCTCCTGCCCGCCGGTACGGTATCTCCCGCAGCCGTGGCTTGCATTCGGAGCGGGGGCGGTTCTGGGGTGGCTTGCCTCGCATTCGCTTCGCGGGCGGACGACGGCCTCGGCGTGGTGCCGGGTCCGCCAGGCGCCGCGTGGGAGCTGCGGAACGCTGCAGCGCGGGCACGGCACGTGTCCGACCGGGTTCTTCTCAGCGAGAGGCTGCTTCTGCCAGTGAAACGGCACGGCCGGTCCGATGGGCCCAACGGAGCTTAAAGTAAACTTCCTTGTGTGGGAATTCACTGCCGTTTAAACTCCTTCGGATTTAATTGCTGCCTTTGCTTAATTTGCCGGAGCTGTCTGGTATTGGCAGGTCTCGGGCCTCCCGTGGGGTTTGTGGCCTGCAGGGGGTGTGTGGGCCTGCCTTCTCGGTGTGCCTTTGGCTTTAGAGTTCTGAGTTCAGGCGCCGAGTTGAACCTTCGCTGTTCTGTGAAGCCATCACGTGCATCCAGCTGCCTGCGCAGTGCTGCCAGGCAGGGCTTTGTGGGTTGGATTTTCTCATATTCACTTACCTATATTTATTTATTGTTGTCCTAAGCTGTTATCGAGTGTTCTGTTTCTCTATAAAGAGAAGGAGAATTTGCGTGGGAAGGAGATTTCAGTGAGTTACCTTTGATTCATTGTGATGTGACATCTTCTTGTCTGAAATGAGGAATAGCTACTTACTGAAAACGTGGTAATATTGAAATGAAGGTACCTTAAGAGTTTATCCTTGGGGAAGGACTGGTGTTTCTATGTTCTAAAATATTTGCTCTTGCATTTCTGTGACATTAGGCCTAGCGTATGTTTCCTGGAAATGTTTTTTTGTCTTTATTTTATTTTTTCTCTTTTTTTGTGCCTGGGTGATGTTGAAGATTTAGGCTGTTCAGTTTGCAGATACCCCACAGCCCAGTTAGAGCAGAGCCTTCAGCTGGGCTGCAAGAAGTGTGCTTCTTCTTGAGAAATGGCTGCTTCAAGTGTATGAACCAATGTGGTTATGCAGGGCTGTGTGCCTGCAAAATACAGTGATGCTGTATCTGGAGCCTCATCATTGTTAGTAGCCTTCCTTACCCATGGCAGCAGGGTTGGCACTGTAGAATCTTTATGGACTTTTCCAACCCAGACTGCTCTATGATTATCAGCATCTTGGATTGGTTATCCTGTATAAAGCATGCAAGGCTGATCAGAATAATTTTTCAATTCAACAGTTTTAATATATTGACATCCCACTTCGGGATCTCAGAAATAAAGTTTTCCACATCATGTAGCTGAAATGGGGCTCCTGAATCCTTGGGAAAGTACTGGTTGGTCTTCCAAGTACTGTTGACCTTGTCTTTAATAATGTATATAGCATACAGCAATATATAGAGTGTTTCTGATCACTTTCTAAAGACCTGTGCAAATACAGCAGCATGTTATCACGAGAACAGTATGAAAGATTTGCCTGCAGTGTTTGGAGGCTGTTACTTGAATTCTGTTTTTGAGACTGTTCACAAGTACAGTGCTGATACTTGAACTAGAATGAAGCACTTAGAGGAATCTAGTATTATGTACCTGAATTTAAATTTCAGAGCCACCTGCTCTTTGGTAATTTTCTTGTGTATGTCACCCTGTGGTGACACCTGTGTTAGGTCAAAGGAGTAGAAATTTGAAGCTGCTATGCTAAACTGAAGTTCTGAGAGCCTCATAGACTTAGAACATATTTGGTCAAACAGCTGGAGCACAGCTGAAAATCACTGTGCTACAGCCAGAGAGTTGTGTTTTGCATTTCAAAGCTGTGTTGATTTGCTTAACATAATTTAGAATGAATAACGAGGTGAAATTTCAGAGTGGGATTGAGCTCTAAATTTGAGCGTTACATACTGAAACAAATCTGTTTTACTTTCTTTGTGAAATTGTGAAGAGGCTGAGAGAAATCCAGCCTGGTGTTCTGTGTGCTGCTCTGAAAGAATCATGTGGAAACCACAGAAAGTGAAACTGTGACACAGCCACATGTCTGTCTGTAGGAGGCTCATGGTGGATGATGTTGTTCTACAGCCTATATATCATCTCAGGAGTAGTGTAGCTTCTTCTGTGGCCTCCTTTGAGTGACTAGCTGTTTCCCTCCTGCTGTTTCTATCCTTGTCTTGCACTGTTGCCTCCTGTTGCTTATCCCAGACTGTGCTTCAGGCATTTCTGCAGAGAGATGAGTGTTTCTAATTTGTTTTGTTTCATAGCATGAACTTTAGAAGCCAAGTCTACTATTCTTGTGACTGCTTGACAGTGTCATAGTATCATAGCATACTCTAAGATTGCCCCTGAATGCCACTTGAAAATTTTCAATAATGAAGATTGCCAGCTGTATGTTTTCACAGGGAACGTTTTACTTTGCATACCGTGATCCAGATTTTCCACTCATCTGCCAATGCAATTGGTGGTTTCTTACCTTGCACAGTCCTTGAAATGCTGCTCATCATTGGTTATTTCAAGTGGAATGGAGCAGAAGGGCATCCTTTTCTGTTTGCAATCAGGCAGCTCCCAGCTGTAGCCTCTTGATTTGTTCTGGTCCTTGCAGAAGGCTCACCAGACTGAGCCTCTTGTGCCTGACAGATTGATGAGTGGTTCCCCTCTCCTTGTCTACACTGCGCCAAGTCTTGCAACTGAGGACAATCACAAACTATGCTTTGGTGAGAGCTGCTGGTCTTAGCTTCTAGGACCACCAGCAAGATGTGTAGGTAACTGCATGGAATACAGTTTTTGGGATTACTCAGGAATATTAAGTGGTTAGAAAGTATGGCTGAATACCAGAATGTGTGCATCAATGGAGGGAGACGGAGGGAGAAACAGTAGGAGCAAAAGCATGATGAAGTGATGGGAATGCAAAGTGTATGTGTATGCTGCTACAATTTTTGTGTGGGGTGCAAAAGTACATGCTCTTCTCCATGTTGTGGTAACAGTGCACCTGCCAAAGAGGAATCAGGAGGGCACCTTCTAGCACTCAGGTCCTGAGAGGAGATTTGAGGTCGGTTGTCAGCTATAAATGCCATCTGGTAGTCAACAGTTAAAACAGAAATATGGTTTTGTACATCCTTATTCAAAGTACAGGAATGTATCAGTGTGGTGTAGGTTTCTTCTCCTAAATAGAATATTCTTCAAATACTGGTTAGCTGTTTCATGAAACAGAACTGTTCCTCAGTGTGGCATTGCCATCTGGAATCAAATCCAGTTACGCGGACCTAGGCCTGCTCCTGATTTTCTGAGAGTATCACTCAGTGATCTGCCTGCAAATTCAGTTTTATTTTGTAATTAAGTCTTCCTCTTTCCTCTTCCAGAGTTCTCAAACTGTAGCTTCATCTCACTGAAACAAGATCATCTTCATGTCATGAGAGAGTCACAGCCAATAGGATAAAGACTTTCAGAATTAGGTGGAAATGTATAGTTGTCCCACTGTGTAGAGGCACTGTAATATTTTGCATTGAATTTAGTGAGAAGAGAATGAGAGGAAGCAACAATACACTGAATGCTCTTTCCTCGTTCTATAAGCCCTTTGTTTTACTGAATGTCTTCTTGTGGAAGTGTTACTGACTGTAAACGAGCTATCTCTAATACAGTTGTACCACCGTGCTGCTTTTTAAAGGTTTACACTTTCTTTTGAATTTTGTTTTTCTTACATTGGAGGCTGGAAGTTGAAACAGAGATGGTGAAAAAGGTGTGTTTGCTGTTCACTAAATGACCTCCAGACAAATTTCAGTAACCATCTGAGTGTTCCTTCAGTGGGAGGTTTGTCTGGTCTCTATATTGCACTGTCCTGCAGATTAAAATACAAAATTCAGTGGCAGGAAATCAAGGCACATATGGGGTTAAGAAATCAACCTGCTTGTTGGCTGTTGAATGTTAAATGCTTATGTATAGAAGGTGATGGAGCCCCAGGTTATTGATTAGCTTCATAATTGTACAGGTTTTGTGTTGGGTTAGACTAGTGAAGGTTTTTAGTTGAATGAGATCATTCAGAAGCCTTGTCTGAGTTCACAAAAGCTGGAAAACGCTATCGGGGATTTTAGTCCTTTTAATTTATTTCAGGAATTCCTCAGTGAAGTTAGCAGGTGCTTTCATGTGGCTATTACATAGTTCTTTTTTCAGTTGAGATGATTTTTTTTTCCCCCCTACATGAATGTTACCTACTGCTGCAAGAAGTAGCTCCATTTGGTAGAGTTACCTGGGCTGCCCCAGTTTCTTTTTGGAGTAGTTCAGCACCTGGTCTCAAGCCCTGCTGCTTACTGCTCTGCTCTGCTGGATCAGCAGTTATTTTGTGGGCTAGTTATTGGATAGGTTGCTTACTGGGGCACCAGAAGCTTTAAAAATATTTCCATTGATCCCATTTATTGATAAATATAATTGTGAATTCCACAAGGGAGAACAGAAGGCTTAAGCAGCAGAGGGAGTAGTTATGCTGAACTTATGCAACATTATACCCAACTGTTCTATTTCTAGTGTGTGTGTGTATATATATGTGTGTGTGTGTATATATATATATATATATACACAAATATGCACATAGACATATATATATATACACACACACACGCACACACACATTTTCTGAAATAAATTGTCATTTTCCTGTGAGAACAAAGCTGGAACTGAATAAATACAGGATTCTGAAATACTAATAAAAGGACTCTACTCTGAAATAATGCAGTTATGCAGCCCAAATAATGTAAATTAGGACTGAGAAGAGGAATTAGAAATCTAATAGAAAAGTTGGTGATGTCTTGTTTGAAATTAGAAATGTAGTTTTGTAGTCTAATTCTGTGATGCAGTTTCATTCCACTCCCTCGTTTTTTTTTTCTCCCACTGATAAATGAATATGGAGAACATATGTTTTACTACAACAGTAACTGAAATAAGTTCTGTGTTTTGTTACTTTTCTAAAGTGGAAGAACCTGTCAAAAGTGGAGAATTTGGCAAGGAAATCCTACTGCGGGAGAGGCATGCAACTGTAGCAATGATTCG